ATCTACTAAGGAGAAGCTTGTGATAAGGAAAGATGATCCTAAAACAAAACCAAGCCCACACCATGAAAAAGAAAATAGATACATAAACTCCATCATCACTGGGCTACAGTGAGATTTGATCACAACCTACCCTGCTCCTGAATCCACACCTTGGCATGCTCCTCTCTCAGCCAAGACGTCAATGTGATGAAACTTTTCCATTCTACTGTCTACTTCCTGAAGAGGTTGCCAAATGGCAGGGAAACTTTCCAAACTAGCATTTCCTCTGCGGGGAAGTCTTAGGATGGGCTTCCCAAATACCATCCATCAAGGCAAGTGGACTGCACGTTCATGACCTCAAAGAACTAAAAAAGAGTCATTCAGCGTGTCACACACCATGGCTGAGAACCTATACTACAGCAGTGCTTTCCAAATTACATGAAGTCGTCCCACTGGCAATAGTGTAAAAAAAAAAAAATGACATTGAATTGGAACTAGTATGCATGTCACCTTGTAAGGGTGGCTACTGAATTGTGAATTATTTGTTAGTAACTTATTAGTGAATATATACAGATTAGCAAATGTAATTCTCTCCAGGTTATGGCCAGAACAGTTTGAAAGTCATAGCATTACAGACATATGAGGGCTGGGAAAAGATGAAGAGAAAATAAGAAAGTACGCATTTGCCGTGTATTGTAGAGACAGGATGATAAAAAGCCTACAAATCAACCCAGCAGCACTATTTCCACCCATTCTGCAGCAGCCCTCTAACCAGGCAGAGGAGAACTGTTAGGGCCTGAATGTGTCTCCCCAAACTCCTCATGCCCAAGGCCTCACCCGCAGTGTGACTGAAGAAAGGACTCGTCAGAGGCAATGAAGGCCCAGTGAGGACACAAGGGTAAGGTCCTGCTAGTGTCCTCACAAGGAGACACCAGTGCGTGCAGTCCGGAAAGGCCACGTAAGGAACACCTGCCAGCTGAGGACAGAGGCCTCATCAGGAACCAACCCTGTTGGTACCTTGATCTGGATTCCCGGTCTCCAGAACCGTGAGAAAAATAAATATCGGTTGTACCCCCGCCAAGTCTGTGGTGTTTTGCTACAGCAGTTCCAGCCGACTGATACAGGCCTCTGAAACCAAAATCCACAGCAGTATCGTGGATTGTGACAGGTACAATTCACTAAACTATGCCCTGTTCTATCAAGGCCTCTAATTTGGCAGAAATAAAACTCTTTTATTTCCAGAGAAAATCAAAGTCATGGAAAACTAAGATTTATAGATTTCTTTTTTCTGAATACCTAGAATGTGTTAGGCATTTTGTTAGGGATCATTAATCTTCATTAAAATATCATAAGGTTAGCCAGGCATGGTGATGCATGCCTGAAATCCTAGCAGTTCAGGAGGCTGAAGCAATAGGATCATGAGTTCAAAGTCAGCCTCAGCAACTTAATGAAGCCCTAAGCAATTCAGGGAGATCTTGTCTCAAAATATAAAGAAAGGGGTTGGGGATGTGGCTCACTGATTAAGCGCCTCTGGGTTCAATCCCCAGTTAAAAAAAATATATATGTGTCTGAGTATGTGTTTGTGTGTGTGTGTCTGTGTGTGTGTGTCTGTGTGTCTGTGTCTATATGCCAAGTTCATTGGTGAATACCTGTAATCCCACATACTCAGGAGGCTAAGGCAGGAGGATTACAAATTTAAGGCCGGCCTGGGTAACATAGTAAGGCCCTGTTTAAAAAAATATATATATATTTTTAAAAGTCTGGGGATGCAGCTCAGTGGTAGTGCATCACTGGGTTCGAGTCCTAGTACCAGAAAAAAAAATTATCATAAGGTATCCCCAGTACCACCCAAAATTACATAGAATTACATATATACACATGCATACATATATACATGTAAACATGCATATCCACATATATAGAAAATAGCTGGCATCACCATTACCATTTTCTCGGCAAGAAGTAAAAAGGTGAGGGAGAGAGCCAAATCACACCCATTCATGTGGACCAAGGCCTTGCCCTCCGGTGGCACTGCCAGGGACAGGAGCCCCGAGGCCAAGTCACACTGAAATACACGCAGTGCTCATTGTCTTAGGTTTCCCTCGGGGGCATTTTCAGGAAATAGGACAAGCATCTCATTGTCTACACCTACAGCACGAACACAGCCACAAATATCTTGACCTGGGTTTCAGTTTCAAAAAGCAATTGTCTCTTTCCACACAATAAACACCCAACCGAATTAGGTGCCTTCTCCAGCCACCTAAGCCCTCATTCATCACAACACGGTGCCACGTTTCTTAGCGCACAGAGCAGATCTGTTCTTGTGAAATGGCAACATGTCTCTGCTGGCCAATACCAACCACCTACTACCTAAATGCCACAGAGACTGTGAAGGACTAGAAAAGGTGTTGACTGCCACGGCAGTGTTGCCCCTAAATGTCACTCATCCTCTGCAGAGTAACACAGGAGCAAAGGATCCAAGTGACAATTACAATGAGGGACGAGATGTGTGAACCAAACGCCTTTATTTTCAGAAATTCCACATTCTTCAAGTGGACACAGCAAGATCTATTCTCTGAAGTTTCCAGTAATATTTTTACAGGAGCACCATGATTTACAGGATTTTTGCCCATGTATTTTTCTCACTATGTAGTTTTAAATATTTTCATGTTTTTTTTTACTTCCAAAAGTACTTGTAATAAATACAAATATTTGCAATATCTGGAATCAAACTCAATTGAAAGTAAATTCATTTTTAATTTATAATTTAAATCATTAAACTGTTTCCATATTAGTACCATCTGATGCGCTTCATAGAAACAGAAGTGGGAATGGAAGATGGAAAAAAAAAAGTGACCTATAACCAGATTGAAAAGTAATAATAAATCAGTAGGGGCACACAGCTATAATCCTCAGGTACCTGGGAAGCTGAGGCAGGAGGATGGCAAGTTCAAGGCCAGCCTGGGCAACTTCGTGAAACCCTGTCTCAAAAAATAAAGAGGAGTGAGGATGTGGCTCTGTGGTAGAGTGCCCCTGGGTCCAATCTCCAGGACCAGAACAAAAGAAAACAAAGACAGACAAAATCAGAAACAGAGTCAGAAAGCCACAGACCACAGGAACAGAAGAAAAGAACATGGACAGCTACTGTAGCTGTACTCCATGAATCTGAGAGGCAGAGGAGGGCATGCGCCTGAGGAGGGCTAGAGATTGCATTACAGATATGGAGAGGGACAGACAGACAGACACACCAATATCAAACCCCAAAGGATAAAAACTGCAGTATCTGAAATGAGAACTATACTTGATGGGATTAAAAATAGACTAGAAATGGCAGATAAAGATGAAGGAACTTGAAGACAGAGCAATAGAAACTCTAAAAGGAAAAATAGAAAAGGATTAATAGTAACTCAAAAAGATCAGATGCGGTGGGTGTGGCTCAGTGGTAGAGCACCTGCCTTGCACGTGTGAGGCACTGAGTTCGATTCTCAGCACCACATACAAATAAATAAATAAAATAAAGGTCCATCGATGTCTAAAAAGAATTTTTTTTAAAAAAAGATCAGATGCACTGTGGAACAAACAGCAGACTATAATACATGTAACTGGAGTTCCCGGAAAAATGGGCAGGGACAGAGAACAGAAAAAAGTATGTATTTGAAGTATACTGGCTGAGAATTAAGTAAGATGAAAACAAGAAACACACAATTCCAAGCTCTCAATAAGCCCCACGCAGAAAAAACACGGAAAAAGAAAATCACACTGAACGTCACAATGAACGTGGACATCTCCATCAAAGTGGTATAAACCCCTAATAATCAGAACATCAGAACAACACAGCTCTGTAGGAAAAAAGAAAAGACAGCAGATTCCTCATCAGAAACACAGGCCAAAATGTATGAAGCAACGGCTTCAAAAAATAGTAGGGAAAAAACAATCAACTCACAAGTAGTTGAAGAAAAGTTATAATCATGTAGTTTTATGGCTGAATCCATGATTCATTTTTCCTCCAACACACACACTCCTGAGGTTTACTCTGATTTGAAAAACTTTAGAAGCAATGACAACCCAGTAACAATAAGTATTCCTCCAACCCAGACTGAAATCCCTAAATACTATTTCCCCCAAAAAAGGAACCAAGGCTGTTGGGAAGAAAGACAAGTTCTAGAAAAGAAGCCAGAAATATCCAAGAGAGTGTTTACCATCTTGTTGGACCAGAAAGCACTCTTAGTCTATTTTGTGTTGCTATAACAAAATACTTCAGACTGGGAAATTTATTTACAAAAAAAAAAAAAAAAGAGGTTTTCTTTAGCTCCTAGTTTCATAATGCTACAAGTCCAAGATCAAGTGGCCCTATCTGGACAGGGCCTGGTGCTTGTGTCATAACACAGTAGAAAACATCACATGGTGAGAACACGCACAAAAGGATGAGAGAGAGCAAGCCAAGGAACCCAAATCACTTTAGAACAACACACTCGTGGTTACTAACCTTGTCCTGAGGGACCACCTCCAGTCCCAGGAAAACTAACCCAGTCTCTAGAGAAAAACACTGATGGGCCTTCAGGAAGGTGGATCCCTCATGGCCCCAAACACCTCTACAGGCCCCACCACCTCCATACTGTTAGGAATTAAGGCTCAGCACGAGTTTTGGCTGGGACAAAACCACACTCTAATTACAGCACAAAGAATAACACAGCTGAGACAAAAAGTCACTCTAATCGGCAGAGGCTACACTCCGCATTTCAAAAAGGACAGGTATCACCTGAACCAGTGAAGATATTTTTTAAAACCCCTGGCTTTTGATGTTGACTGTACAATTCTTCCCATTTTCTGTGTTGGAAAAAATTCATAATGAAACGTGAGAAGCAAGAAGCTTGAGTTTAAAATATTTAAAAGGCAGAGAAGGAAAGAAAAGTGAAAAAAAAAAAAGCTAAAATAAAACAAAAAATAATTCCCCGTCATCATTGCAGATGACCAAGGCGCCAACTCCTCATGCCAGCGGGCAACTAAAGGGCAAAGGCAAGCATCTCCTGCCCCTTTTATAAAATCATTATCTCAGTGACCAAATAGCCCCTGCCAGGGAGGCAAAGTTCTTTAAAGATGGACTCAAGCCGACAGTTGTACAGGACGGATTAGGTCAGAAGATAACCATTTGCAAAGTCCATAGAGAAAAAGTGAATTCAGGTGACGATCACAACGCCTAAAAGCACCAGATGGGAACCTATGGGGATGAACACAACGTAAGCTGCCCTGCGAACTCCCCACCAGACCCTCAGAACAAGAGCAAGACCTTCCACCACAGCACCTCCTACTCAGCAGTCAGCCTAAAAATAAATAAATAAATAAAACCCAAGGTTAATCAAACCTTCACTAACTTCCAGTTTTCAGGAAACACGATGGTCAGAGCGCTGAGCTGATGGCACCTTAAGAAATGGACAGATGCCCCGAACATGGCATCCCTTTTACACACAGGCCCAATTTCTTCAAGCGGTGACAGGAGAAGGGAAGGACAGAGAGAGGTGAAAAGAACAGAGTCCATCTTGACTAAAAGGGACTGAAACACCATCGCCTAATGCTGAACGTCACTCGTGAAGTCAGATGAGAGCCGTCCAGACTTACAAAGGTTCCCCAAAGCCAGCAGGAAGCCTGGGAAGAGGCTCAAGTGACACTGAGGATCGTGGTACATGGCACAGCAGTGCTGAAGGACGGCCAGGCTTTCAAAGATGCTCACTTGGAGTGGAGGACTGAAGTATTATCACTTTTCAGGTTTGTTTTAAAATACTTTGGGGATGGGGGGAGGCTTAGAGGAAGAGGAGGCAGGATGGGCGTACCTTGATCCAGATGCTCCTGTGAGATGAGTCTGTAGGGCACCTACACCAGCCCCACCACAGTGGGCTGCAATCAAACATCTTTACAATGAAAAAATGACAAACCCCTTCTCAGCAAAATAAAGAAAAATGCATAATTTTTGATAAGTATCTCCCACCCATAAAAAAATAGGTTATGGCTTGAATATGAGGTGTCCCCACCATGGTTCCTGTGTTAATGCAGAGAAGTTCCCAAGTGAAATGTTGAGACTGTGGGGGCTGTGACCTAATCAGTCCATCCTAGCTTGAATGGACTGGGTGGTACTGTGGGCAGGTGGCATGTGATGGAGGAGGTGGGTCACTGGAGACATGCCCTGGAAGGGTTGATCTTCTCTGCAGCCCCTTTCTGCTTCTTGGCCCGTGTCCTGACCAGCACCATCACCAAGAACCACCTACAACTGCAAGGGATTAACCTTGCAGTCTCCTTTGTTGAACACAGAAGGTAAGCGACCTGTAAGATACTGGAGAAAGGTTTCACTCCAGGTTTAAAGTTTTGATGTTTGTTTGTTTTTTATTCTTCTAAAGATGGGTTTCACTATGTCACTCCACCATGCCCTTCCACCATGATGTTCTGCCTCACCTTGGGCCCCGAACCATGGATTTGGCCAATCATGGACTAAAGCTCTAGAACCATGTGCCAAAATATATTCTTCCTCTTCCAAGTTGTTCTTGTCAAATGTTCTGGTTACAGCCCTGAAAAGCTGACGAGCATAGAGTGTAAATTCATAGGTAAAAGCTAGGAGAGAAAACAGGACAGAGAATTTCACTCCCTGAACTTCCTTATTATTACAGGCAGAGAGCCCCAAATCCTGCAAAATCTGAAACTTCAAGTACCAACACGATGCCACAGGTGGAAGAGTTCCAGATGGAAACCTATGGGGATGAACACATATGAACACATGTTGTGAAACTATATTGTGCACAAAATTATTAAAAGTATTGTATAAAATTATCTTCAGGCTAGGTATAGAAGGTGGATATGAAATAAATTAATTTCATGGTCAGACCTGGGTCCCATATCCAAAATAATTCATCATGTGTATACAAATATTCCAAAATCCAAAGAAGTCCATTATCTGAAGCACTTCTGGGTCCAAGCATTTTGGATAAGAGATTCTCAAACTGAAATTTTTAAAGCAGGATCACTCCTGGCCTCAGACAATTTGGACACATTAGGTTCCAGCCTCTGTCACAGAAGCTAGAGAAATAGCTGCTCTGGAGAGAGCCTTCTGGGACGTCACAGAATGCAAGCAGGACTGGAGGAGGAGGACACACCCCACACTAGACTAGCAAAACAGCTAAGGAGAAGGAGCCTTAGTATGTCTGCTCTTCTGCTGTCCAGGGTTGATCACTAAGAACCATCTACAACGAAAGAGCTTAACCTAGACATCTCAGGAAGCCAGGCAACCTCTAAGATACGGGAGAAAAGTTTCACTCCAGGTTTAAAGCTTTGATGTTGTTATTGTTGGAGTTTTATTCTTCTAAAGATGGGTTTCACTATGTTGTCCAGTCTGGTCTGGAATCCTGGGCTCAAGAGATCCTCACTTCAGCCTCTCAGGTTGCTGGGACTCCGGGCATGTGCCAGAATCCAAAGATATTTTTTTAATATCACTTCTGACCTCGAAATGTACTAAAGGTTAGACTCAGCATCCACCTGCTTTTTTAAAAAATATCTTTATTTATTTTTATTTGGTGCTGAGGATCAAACCCAGTGCTTCACAAGTGCAAGGCGGGCACTCTACTGCTGAGCTACAGCCCCAGCCCCCACCACCTGCTTTTTAGATAACTATAAATGACATCCCTCATGGAAGGAAGAGACCTTCAGTGAATGTCATTATTTGTGCATAGGCAACATGACTTTCTTTAAACACATTAAGAGCCTGGTGATAGCAACTCCATGATATGCAAGCGGGTACCCCACAGTCATTTTGGAAAGTGAACCCCTCAAGGGACTCTCTGGCCAGTGTTGCCCTAAGAGGACACTGAGCAAATGAAAATAATGTGATAAACTGCGCAGCCTGACCTGAGTGTGGACCCAGAAAGTTCTAACTGTCCTTTTGCTGGGCTGCACAGATGTTCCTTGAAGCACCCAGTATGTTGTGGGCTTGGAAAAAAAATCTAGTTGGCATGTCGATCCTTTGCCACCCTGGCACGGAATTCAGGAAGATGCTAATCTGATCCACCCTGGAACATTTCCTCCTCAATAAAACTCTCTCTCCAAAGACAAAGCAAACAGTGATGCAGAATACAAGAAACCAAAACACGAGCCATCGTCAAGGGCACGGATAAGAGACTGTGTCAGAACACTCTGAAAGCACACTTAGAGCCTGCGGCTGAGCTGCCCAAGCAGCACCCTGGTGTGTGATGTGGCCTACAAACGGCCAAGCTCCTACACCCGGCTCCTCCCTCTCCAAAGACTGACAATTACACCTCCTGTCATGCTCAAGAGGGGCAGAAATGCAGAAAGCCTGAGAGAGGAGATTTTTTTTTTTTGTAAACTGGACAGCATAATTCCTAGGATTCTCCATTTTTAAGAACATACACAACGTTTTGATTAACAAAATTATCTCAGCTTCCTTCTGTTGTCTTTAAAATTTCAAAAGGATATTATTTTTTCACTTCCCAAACTTGAACTATTAGGTAAGCTTTCTTCAAACTATAGTTGCCTCTCAGTATCTGTAAAGGATTGGTTTCAAAACCCTTCAGAGACACCAGAATCCAAGGATGTTCAAACCCTTTATATAAAATGGCATACAGCACTGACCTATACCCCGCGCACATCCTCCTGTGCACTTTAAGTTATCTCTACATTACTCATAATACCTAACACGATGTAAATGATATGTAAATAGCTGTTATACTGTATCATTCAGGGAATAATGAGAACAAGCATGTTCGTGTTCAGTACAGAAGCAATTTTTTCTGAACATTTTTGATCCACAGTTGAATCTGCAGATGCTGAACCCACAGATACCCAGGCTGAGTACACACACCGCACCTCCCAAGATGCAGACATGCCCCTGAGCACCAGGGGTGCATCTCCCATCCTCTGCTTGAACACCCTGCACTCCAGCCCAAGGAAGTCCATCTCCTGACCCTCCCACTACAATACAGCTTCTTCCTTTTTTCCTTTCTTCCTGCTCTTTCGCGTTTCACCCAAGTCCATGGGACAGATCTTGCTAGCAATGGGAAAACTCTGCACTTAGGCGGCTAAAACAAACACACACTTTGAAGGTCCGAAGTCCAAACTCGGGTCAGTAAAGACTTGAGTGTTATAAAAGGTCTGGTGAGCTTCTCAGAGCCTCTGCTCCTGCAGCCATGTTTACCAGGGAGGACACCCTCCCTGGCTGTGCCTCTAAGTCCTCTTTGGGGAACCAGAAATGACAGTCCACCTAAGCCTTAAATCTACAGTAAAAGAAATCAAATAAGCAAACCAATTCTTGGAATGATTCTAGGCAGATAACTCAAAGTCCTACAGTTCTTGCCAGTGTTTTCTCCTGCTTCCTGGAAACCAGGCAAAGGCAACAATGTGAAGAATAAAGTGTGTGTTTCAACAACACAGCAACAGCACCGAGAACCAGCTACCAGAAGGAACCCAAAGGAACCGCCAGCGCTGCATCTCACATGGGAACTTACGAGAAGAGCTAAGGTGCAGCCTGGCATGCTCTGGACTTCTCAAAACAGAAAGGGGAGGGGCCTGGGATTGTGGCTCAGCAGTAGAGCGCTCCCCTAGCATGGGAGGGACCCGGGTTCGATTCTCAGCACCACGTAAAAATAAAGGCATTGTGTTGTGTCCATCTACAAAAAGAAAAAAAAAAAATTCATTCTCTTTCTCTCTCAGGAAAAAAAAAAACAGAACAGGACCACGACTAACCAAGACCACCAGGCACAGAGAACCAGCAGCAAAGCCCCTCGTTCTTCCAGGGCCCCAGAGAACCTGTCACAGCTTAGGGTCAAATTCAGTGGGGCTCAGAGTCCTCTCCTCACTCCTGCTCCTCTCCACCTACTCCCCCCGCCACCCCCAACCTGAGTGGAGATCAGCTCCTGGTGTTCAGCCCTCCTGGTCCACATACCGTGTCCTTATTGCTACTCAGGGGCCAACCATCATCTATGATTCTAAAAAGAAAGCAGACATACAATGCAATGTCATCCAGCCCTGACAAGGAAGGACATCCTGATACATACAACACCATGGATGAGCCCTGAAGACCCTGTGCCAGGTGAACCAAGCCAGTTATAAGATCATGTGGTGTGAGCCTGCCAGATGAAGTTCCTTGTCAAATTCAGAGACAGGAAGTGGAATGGCAGCTTCCAGGGGAGAGGGGAACAGAGAGTAGTTGTTTAATGGGTGCAGAGATTCAGTTTAGGAACTTGAGAAGTGTTCTGGAGATGCCTGTGTGTCATTGTGAAAGTACTTAAAGCAACTAACGTGCGCACCTAGAAACGGTTAGGAGAGTACATTTTGTTATATATAAGAAAAAGTTTTGCTTAAAGCAAGCTCCCTGAGTGCTCAATAATCATGAGTAGGCCTGTGCCCTCCCCTGGAATATCCCTGCCCTGGCTTATCAGAAAGGGCCCAAGAAGTCTTATCTGTGATTACAGATGCTCCTCAACTTACAATGGAGCTGCATCCCAATAAACTCATCATAAGTTGAGATTACTGTAAATAAAGTGCATTTACTACCTAGGCCACTAAACACCACAGCTTAGCCTAAGCTCCCTTCCACACGTTCAGAACACGTCCACTACCCTGCATTTGGGCAAAACCATCTTATACAAAGCCCGTTTCTCAAAAAGTGTTCAACAGCTCGTGTAATTTACTGAATACTGTATCAAAGTGAAAAGCAGAATGTATAGCTATGATTTTACACCACTGGGAAGTCAAAAAATCCTTCAGTCTGACCACCCTAAGTCAGGCCATCTGGAAATGTCACCTTCCCTCCCCTTACAAGTCTTCACCATGGGGCCTCGGTCACCTTCTTTCCATTCTTCCCTGCCATCCACCCACCCATGCTTCACTGGGCACTGACTACATGCCTGATGCTGTTCTGGGCACGGGAGGATCAGCAGCCAGTGAGATGCTCAGAACTTCTATTTCCATGAGAGAGACAGGAAAGAAATAAGTAAACAATAGCGACTTGAGCACCAGGAGGGTGTCAGGAATGGATGTCTGAGCTCTGACCTGAGGGACTGGGCATGCTCCCCTACCTAGGAGCCCTGAGCCACTCTGCCACTCCTCACAACATATCTTTTGTCCCTAAAGCTAGGCATCTTCAAAGGCCTTGGGATTCTTTGGTTCCTGCTAAATTAAAACAGTAATAACAGCTTGTCCCTCCTTCTAACCTGTTATCCACAGACCTTTTACCAAATGACACAGTTCACCCATGAAATAGTCTAACTCTATCTTCCACCTCTGCTAAAAAAAAGAAAAGAAAAAAGAAAAAACTCTACTCGTAAGGGTCTCCCTGTGCTTCCCTGTCCTACCACACAGGAGCCTGGTGAAGACAGGGATCGCTCCCCAGGCTGCTCTTCCTGTTCCTACCCTGTGCTACTGGCCCCACCCAGGCCCCTCCTACAGTTTTTGTTTGTACTTTAGCTGACCCAATTCCTGGGCAGGGAGCCTTTCTCAATGGTCACACACAATGAAACATTAACCATGGCAAGTCAATAACCCGCAAGATGCCCAAGTAATGCCTGCAGACGCTCCAGACCAAAATATACCCAACTCTCATCCTGAGCCCAAGAAGAGCTCCCTGAAAAGAACAATTCATTACCTAGGGCCTTCTGTGGGCAAAGTGAGGGCAGAAGGCGAGGCGCTGGTAAACCTGGCCTGCGTCAGACTCAAGACAAAAATCCAGCCCAGGGTAAACTGCTCTGCAAGAAGCAGACCCTGGTTCAAAAGAAAGAGGGCCCAGGAACTAAACTGCCCAGAACTGCTGTCCTGCTGGGGTGTGGGCAACCAGGGAGCTGGAGAAAACATTCCGGAAGGCAACCTGCCAGTCTACA